GGGCGCTGCGGGCCCGGATCCGGCCGAGGCTGAGTCCCGCGGGAATCCCGGGGCAGGGGTGGGGGGGAGGGAAAGGGCGGGGGTAGGGGGGCGGGCTGATCACCCTGACACGGGGCCCCCCTCTCTGCTGTGGGCAGGGCTGGCCCTGAACCCCCCCAGATCCCTCCACCCTGTGGCCCCTTGGGGTGTGGAGGAGGGAGGAGGCCCTGTGTGACCCACCTGCCCCCAAACAAGCGTTCTGGCCCAGACTGGTAGGGAAGGAGGAGCAAGGAAAACGACAGAGATGGCGGTGGTGATGATGGTGATGCTGCTCCTGGTGATGATGTGATGATGATGATGGTGATGGTGATGATGATAGTAGAGGAGAGGGACGATGCTTCCCCCCCTTTCTCTCTCTCTCTCTCTCTCTCTCTCTCACACACACACACACACTCACACCCATTCCTCCTCCTTTTCTCCCCTCAGAGCAAAAGAACTCACTTCTCACTCTCTGCGTCTGTCTGGCTCTCTCTTGCCTCAGTTTCCCCATCCCTGTCTGTAAGTTTGTGTGTTAGAAAGTGACTGGCTTCAGCTCACACGGGCGAAGCCCAAGTCGTCTATCTTCTGGCCTGGAGACCTGACCCTTCCTCACCACTGTCCCCTGCCTGTGTCTCCCGGGGAGGTGGGTTCCCCCCCCCCTTGGGGCAGGGCTCATGGGGTCGCCGGCAGAGGCTGGCTTCGAGCGGGAGGCAGATGTCACGTCAGCCAGTGCCTGCCATGTGGGCAGAGGACCCGGCGTCACCAGCTGTTCCAAATTTCTAAAAGGAGACAGAAATCTGGATATTTAAAAAGCAAAATCCCTCGGCTCTTAAATGTTAAAAGGAATTTAAATACAAAAAAATAATACGGTGTGGGCTAAATAAATCGTGTGGGCTGGGTTGGAGCTGGAGAGCCTGTGAGCTCTGGGTGGGGCTGGATGAGCAGCACTGGCAGGGGTGGCTAGGAAAAGAGGATGAGCAGCAGCACTGGGAGAAGTGGGAGAGACACCGGGCAAGAAAGCAGGCACCACCTCCAGGAAGGCCTCCCTGCTGGCCTTCTCTGATGGGAGGGCAGGGCGGGGGTCTGGGCTGGGACTCCTCCAAGCAGCTCACTGCTGTAACTGGTGACAGGGAGAATTCACCAGGAGAGATGGCTGAGCCTCTAGTAGGTTCTCGGTGCTCAAGACATAGTAGGTCCTTGGTCAGTGCAATCAGCCATAAATGCACTGTTGATTCATTTGTCTATCCCACCTCCTGTTCACACACACAGTGGACAGTTTGTCTTTTGACTGCATCTTCTTTTCAAACCCCATTATCCATGCATGTAGTCATGAGGCAATAGATACAGAAAACACCTCCCCGGTGCTGCTCAGAATGTCAAGGTCAGGAGCTGAGAGTCTGCACAACCCGCTACAGGCCAGGGGAGCCTGGGCTGGGCAGCGGGAATGGGGCCCCTTGGATGGGATCCTGAGACAAAAAAGGAACAGTAGGTCAAAGCAAAGGGAAGGAGAATAATGGTGACCTGGAGCTCGCCACAATGTAACCATGTTGGCTCACTGGCTGTGACAATGTCTCCTAGCAATATTGCGATTTAACAGGAGCCAGGCCTTGGTGGCTCCCACTTGTAATCCTACCAGTGGAGAAGGGAGGATGGGGGTTGATTTCAAGCCAGTCTAGATAGCAAAGTCCACCAGAGGCCCATCTACAATTAACCACTAAAAAGGCAGAAGTGGAGCGGTAGCTCCAATGGCAGAGCCCTAGACTTGAGTGAAAAAGCTCAGGGACTGTACCCAGGCCCTGAGTTCAAGCCCCAGGACTGGCAAAAAAAAATCTGTAAGCTAGCACCAATGTAAGCTAACACCTGTCATCCTAGCTGCTCAGGAGGCTGAGATCTGAGGATCATGATTCAAAGTCAGTCCAGGCAGGAAAGTCGATGAGACTCTTATCTTCAGTTAACTACTCAGAAAAGGCCAGAAGGGGCCCTATGGTTCAAGTGGTAGAGTGCTAGCTTTGGGTAAAAGAGGCTCAGGAACAGTGCCCAGGCCCAGGCCACACCAAAAAAAAATTTTTAAAGTCTGTAGTAATTTTGAAGTTTCAGATCTTACATTAAAATCTTTGATCGTGTGTGTGTGTGTGTGTGTTGGTCCTTGGGCTTAAACTCAGGGCCTGGGTGCTATCCATGAGCATTTTTGTTGTTGTTTTTGTTTTTCTCAAGGCTAGAATTCTCCCACTTGAGCCATAGCTCCACTTCCAGCTTTTTCCTGATTAATTGGAAATAAGAGTCTCATTAACTCTCCTGCCCAGGCTGGCTTTGAACCTCAATTCTCAGATCTCAGCCTCCTGAGTTGCTAAGGATGACAGGTGTGAGATCTAGGTGCCCAGCTAGAATTTCTTTTTCTTTCTTTTTATAAGTTTTTTTGTGTGAAACTACTGTACAGAGGGGTTACAGTTACATGAGCAAGGTAATGAGTACATTTTGCGGGGGGTCCGGTCGTGGGACCTGAACTCTGGGCCTGGGCGCTGTCCCTCAGCTCTTCAGCTCAAGGCTAGCGCTCTACCACTTGAGCCACAGCACCACTTGCGGCTTTTTTCTTTTTGCTTATGTGGTGCTGAGGAATGGAACCCAGGGCTTCAGGCATGCAAAGCAAGTGCTCTACCACTGAGTCACCTTCCCATCCCCTCTTTCTTTCCTTCCTTCCTTTCTGTTTTTCTTTTTTCTTTTGTCGGTGGTGGGGCCTGAACTCTGGGCCTGGGTGCTGTCCCTCAGCTCTTCAGCTCAAGGCTAGCGCTCTACCACTTGAGCCACAGTGCCGCTTCTGACCTTTTCTGTTTATGTGGTGGGTGCCTAGGAATCGAACCCAGGGCCTCATGCAGTCAAGGCAAACACTCTACCACTGAGCCACCTTCCCAGCCCCTGGCTAGAATTTCTTTGAAGTGGCAGAAGCCGCGGCGGGGGGCTTAGGTCTAGGCTGGGCACTCCGGCTGCAAATACAAGGAACTAGGTGTGGATCCTGATGCTGCAGATACATTTAGCTCCAGCAGGTGACACACAATTTAAACCACTCTATTTATAGCATGGCAGGCAATTTTTACCAACTAAAATAACAGGCAGCAGAAAGTCTGAGGTCTTCAGCCCCATCTGAGCAGTGGGGCCAGGTACACCTGCCCTGGATTAGCAGGAAAAAAATAAAAATTAGGAAATTAAAAAAAAATCTTGATTTTTTTTGGCGCATGTTTCCTATTGCTCTCACTTTTAAGCTTGTGGAAGGGCGCAGTAAACTGCATGCGTCAGAGGAAGAGCTCAATTAGAGTCCTGGAAAGAGGCATTGTGGCAAAGTCCCCAGCTGATTTGGGGAACCCGGGATGAGACCCTAGGAATTACCAATACAATTGCAGCGATCCAGTCTGAAGCTCCACCAGAGATCACAGAGACCCCACCCTCAGCTCCAGAGTCACCAAAGATCAAGTCCCCCTCCGTCCTTCCTGTAATCTCAGTTCTTCACCGCCAACACGAAGCTCATCTCTAAATACAAGATGGCGGACAGAGTTCCAGCCCCTATGTCTGCCTGCCGGTTGCCAGAGGAGGAGAGGCCTTATTCGCCCGATTGCCACTTCTGGGGATTATTGTGAGCAGCACTCATGTCAGGCCCTTAGCACAGAGATGGGGTGGGTTATGTTGGCACAGCATGGATCCTGGGGCCTGAACTCTGGGCCTGGGTGCTGTCCCTCAGCTCTTCTGCTCAAGGCTAGCACTCTACTACTTGAGCCACAATGCCACTTCCGGTT